AATTCTTGAGACAACATCTTAGTGATTGTAGTAAAGAAAGGGCTTCTATAAAAAAGAGAAAAGAACGAATTATGAAATCATTACGAGATGAAGATTGTTACAACCTGGATGACGATGATGATGATGATGATGGTGAGAATCAAATTGAAGAGGGTGATTTTGAAAGAAGACAGTTAAAGCATGCAATGAAGGAAAGCCGTCAAATGGCTTGGATGGAGGAAGAGGGTCGTAGGCACTCTGTATCAAATGCAAGCGGTCGATCATCACAACCATCAAGCTCAGGAATCAAGCGCGGACCACCACGTAGCTATAGTGTAAAAGAAGGTGCAAGTATGCCTGTAAGTGGCCTTGATCCGTACATGTTCCCGTCGAAACAAAAGTCAGTAACAGACATGTTCTCAGGTGCGAACCTGAAAAAAGTGGAAAAAGCTATTTCGAAGTTCTTCCTCTTCAATGCCATACCATTCAATGTAGCTGATAGTGGGCCTTACTATCAATCAATGATTGACACTATTGCGGATGCAAGCCCAAGAATAAAGGGTCCCACAAGATATCAAATTGGTAGTTCTTATTTGGAGGAGGAGGTTAAAGAGCTTGATGTGTATATATCTTCGATGAAGATAAAATGGCCTCAGTATGGTTGCACAATCATGTCTGATGGGTGGAGTTCTAGAACAAAGAAACCCATTATCAATTTCATGATTTATTGTGACCGTAATATGATTTAGCATACATCAGTTGATACCACAAATATTTTAAAAACTGCTGACTATATTTTCTCTCTTATGGATAAAGTTATTGATGAAATTGTAGAAGAAAATATAGTACATGTAGTAACCGACAATGAGACAAGCTTTAAAGCAGCTGGTAAGATGTTGATGGATAAAAAAAAACATTTATTTTGGTCTCCTTGTGCAGCTCATTGTATTGATTTGATGCTAGAAGATATTGGTCATATGAAAGCAATCAAGGAGACCATAGATGATGCTAAGACGATCACATCTTTTATCTACAACAGTCTCAAAGTGGTCAACTTAATAAAGCAACATACCAGAGATAGAGATTTATTGAGGTCAGGTATAACACGATTTACCACTGAATTTATCGCCATTGAAAGCCTTATTCGTTATGAATCGGACTTGAAAAGAATGTGCACCACCGATGAATGGCGTGAGTTCAACAAAGACAAGAAGAGGAGAAAAACAAGAGATATAGTCTCAAACCTTATTTTGACTAACCAATTTTGGAAGAAGGCTAGAAAAGTTCAATCTATCATGGAGCCTCTTGTTAGGGTTTTAAAAATAGTTGATCAAGACAAAAAACCAACTTTATCAATTATCTATGAGGCAATGGACAGGGCTAAACTAGTCATACAACATTCAGTCAAAAATTGGAAGAAATAATGGGCCGTGATTGACAAAAGATGGGAGATCCAATTGCATAGACACTTGCATGCAGCAGGTAAAAGTATTTAAAAATATAAATTTTTTTTTGTGTATTAGCTTGTAAAATTATAGTTTTCCACTAACTTACATTAAATTGTCAAAAAACTTTGCAACTTCTTTCTTAAATCCAGTTTTTCAGTATTCTAATCAATTTTTCAACCATCATGAGGTAAGATCTGGTTTGAAAGAGGTTATTAAAAGATTGGAACCAGATTTGAATAAAACAAGCAAGGGCAATGAACGAGGTATGACGATTTTTGATAATTTTTTATTATAATATGTGTATTTATTTGTCGCTTACGTAATACATTACACAATAAATTGCAGATCAAATTATATACTGACAAACATGGCGAGTTTGGGAATGCACTCACTAGGAAAGCTGTACATGCCTCCCTTCCAAGTTTATTATTTAAACTATATGTATTTAGTAAAGTATCATTTGTTACTCTTATGGACAATACTAATATTGTACAATTTTATTTTTTTTTGTAGCTGAATGGTGGATCAATTATGGTGAAGAAGCTCCCCATCTGCAAAAAATTGAAGTCAAAGTTTTAAGTCAAACATGTTCATCATCAGGGTGTGAAAGAAATTGGAGTACATGGTCGCTGATCCATACAAAACTTCACAACCGATTGGCAATGAAAAAACTACATAAGCTAGTTTTTGTGCACTAAAATATGCGGTTGCGAGTTAAAAATTTGACATATCAGCGTGAAAATAATGATTTTTATAATCCAATTGATCTGAACTACATTTTTAATGATAAGGATATATTAGATGAGTGGATAAGAGAAAGGGAGGAATCAATTTTACCACCTGATAACTTAGGTTGGCTGGATGAAGGTATTCGTGACATTGAAGAAGGTGGAAGTGGACGAGATATAGTTGATGAAGGTGACACTAATACGGCACCAACATCTAGCAATTATGCCACTACCAGAAGATCTGAAAAAGATACGAGGCCAACCAATAAGGGTAAAAAGGCTATGAGAATTTTTGTCAGTTCTAGTGATTTTTCTTCTGATGATGATAATGATAATAATGTTGCTGATACTTATGGTGGTGGTGGTGGTGGTGATAGTAGTAGTACTGATGATGATGATGCTAGTAATCATGGTGGAGATAATGATAAGAGCAACAAGAGTGGTGGTGGAGGGACTACTAGAAATGGCGGTGATACTCAGCTACCTGGCGGTATGTCATGGGCACAGGGGCAAGACAATTACTATGCCACACAGGATACAGACCATGGATATAGACCAGGGGCAATGAAACAACGGAGGAATTTAAACTCTTCCATTGGTGATGATTATTCCCATAGACGCTACCATCATTCACTTGATCGACAAGATATTGATGATCATATACAGAGTTTGGGATTGACATCATATGAAGGATACATGCCTTACGGACATCATCAAAGTAGTGGTATAGAATCTAGCTATGCACATGGATCATATGGATATGGTATCCCTTCGCCGCTTCCGAGGTGTACTAGTACTAATAGTGCTGGGCATTATGGTCATCGCCCTACGCATCTTGAGAGATCTACTATTACTAGTACTGGTGGTTACTATGATTGTGTTCTAAGGAGACATCATGATAGATCTTCTAACACGACATCGGATAGTGTCAACTTTTATGGATATGATCAGTCTTCTGCTAGTAGTGGCCGTGAATATCGTAGTTTTGGGTACTATCAGTATGGGAACCAGCCAGTACAACCTCCACAGTCACACTACTCTGATTATGGGTCATCTAGTCAATCAACTCAACCAACCCAATCAGACCCGTATTCACACTTGTACTCTTATTCTTATGATGGACAGTACCCTAATTTGTATTATTTTATAGAGACAATAACGACGATTTTGAGTCTCATCGTCGTTCAATGTAGTAATGATTATGACTCAATATGTTCCTAAATGTCTACATTGAACATTGAACATTGATAATGATAATTATTTTTGCTGGCGATTTTATGTTTTATTTTAATTATGGTTAATGTATTTTTAGATGTATTGTGGATATATGATACAAAAATGATAATGTCTATTTTTTTAGAATTTTCTATAATTTTTTTAAATTTTTTTAGAGCTTCTATCTTGCGTTTTGAGCGTATCGGCCGATACCGCGACCGATGTGTATCAGCACCCTCTAAGTTGATGGCCGATACTGCGATTTTGAACCACGGGTATAGTTGTACGTTTAGGGTTCACTAGATGTTATTCTGATCATACATGCTTCATTCAACGGAATATTTTTGGACAATGTATCATCTTTTTAGTATATGTTGATGATATTATTATTACTGGAGATGATGTTTCAGGGACTGCGCAGGTGAAGGTAAACCTTGGGAAGGCCTTCGATGTGAAAGACCTTAGATTTCTACAATACTTTCTTGGGATTGAGTTTGCCCGTAACAGCAGGGGTATTGTTCTTTCTCAAAAAAAATATGTTCTGGATCTTCTCTCAGACACTTGGATGCTGGGGTACAAACCAGCATCATCACCCATGATTCCAAACCTGAAGTTTACTGTTGAAGGTAAGGAGTTGAGAAACCCGACTGTCTATCAAAAATTGGTGGGTAGACTTATCTACCTAGCCAACATTAGGCCAGACATTTCATTCGCTGTCAGCCGAGTTAGTCAATTCATGCACAGACCATGTCAACCTCATCTTGATGCAGTTTATCATATCTTTCAGTACCTCAAATCTTGTCCTGGACTTGGGTTGTTCCATGCATCAGGATCTCAGACTAGTTCTCTACCCTGTTATTCAGATTCAGACTATGGGGGAGTGTGTGACGGTCGATCTACTACGGGCTTCTGTGTTTTTCGAGGGGCTCATCTTATTTCTTGGAAGAGCAAGAATCAGTCAGTTGTCTCTCGCTCATCAGCAGAGGCAGAGTATCGGGCACTGGCGCTTGGCACGTTTTAGATTATCTGACTACGATCGATTCTTAGCAAGTTGGGATTTCCAGTGACATCTTCATCTATATTATATTGTGATAATCGATCTGCTATTCAATTTGCTTCTGACTCTGTATTACACAAGAGGACAAAACATATAGAGATCGATGTTCACTTTTTTGGGGAGAAGGTTAGCAATGGTATTGTCATTTCATCGTTTGTGGGGACCAGTGATCAGGTTGCGGATGTTTTCACCCAACCTGTCACTCTATCCATTCTTCGGGACTCCATTGTCAAGCTTGACTTAGTTGATATTTGTGCGCCTAGCTTGAGGGAGAGTGTTGGAGTTATAGCAGCCTAGTTTATTAGGCCTAGTTTATTAGGGTTCTTTTTCTGTTTTTACCCTTATTATGACTTTTATATTTTGCTTAGACTACAAGGATGTTTAGGTCACTTTGTAATATTATTTGGTTATATATCCCTTTTCACACACAACTAGTTCAAGTGTATTAAAGTACATATGTTGGTTGCTGGGAAAGTAGCAAGTAGAAGCCAAGCAGGATCCATGAATGACTTAAGCAATTTCTTAGATCTGAGTATTGCATTGTACTGATAAAGAACTTAAGAATGTCAGGATTCACATTTTCCTGGTCAAGATGTGGTAAAATTTTGGATACTTACTTAGGACTTCAACAGCAGAAACCCTTTTGGGCGGATCAGCTTGTAGCATCTTCTTCACAAGGTCTTTGGCACTACTAGATATGGATGGCCAAGGATCAGATGAGAAATCAAGATGTCCCCGCAAAACAGCATCAAAGATACCCTGCTCATTCTCTGCATATGAAAGGAAAAGAGACAAGGTTGTAACTGTTAGGACATGATAAAGCAGTATTCATGTAGTTAATAAGAGGCTCCAAGACCCTTAATCATGGAATATCAGCTGTAGGTCATCTTATTTCATGCTTATTTAGGTTAGAAAATGTTTACCCAAACATAAAAAAGACACAAATAAAATTTAAACCATCCAGAGAGGCACTCAAGGAAAAGTTAAAACAAGATTGTGCTATGTGTGCTCATCTCATCAAGTTCGGAAATACGAACCTCCCCAGAATGGTGGGACACCGCTAAGTAAAATATATAGGATCACCCCAGCACTCCAAATATCTGCCTCAGCTCCATAGTTGTGGCGCAACACTTCAGGAGCCACATAATATGAACTTCCAACAAGGTCTTTAAATACATCTCCTGCACCCACAAACCAACATTTAAGTTATCAAAAATCACCAGCAAGTCCCAAAAATAGGTAAAAAGCAATGAACAGCAAAGCAACACATTGGCCAAGGGGGCCCATGAAAACACCTCCCCCCCCCCCACCCCAACCCTGCAGTTCTGAAACTACCTTTTGCCACTTTGGTTCTGTGAATGATTAATTAAACCACCCAAAATATATGGCCTCTATAATTCTATGTTATATCATTTGACCCTTACTCATTGGTACCCCAAAGTCCAAATCCTGGCTTCACCCCAGAAACAAGGAAAGTTGATAATAGAAAACCGCACTGTAAACTGAAAGAAAAAAAAAAACAAGACTAAGAAGTGTGTCATGGTGTAACAGTTAAATTTATGGCATCCATAAATTTTCCACGTAATGTTTAGAAAAAAGTTCATTCATAATGAGGAGAAAAGGAAGATGCTTATACATGACTGAGCACTGAGAAGGTGAGCATAAAAATGAAAAATGAGTGAGAAGCTTGGTTAAAGTACTTGGCTGGAAAATGTTCCTACTAAGGGGCATTCTCGGTGTTGTCAATGGAGGGAAGATTTTTGTTGTAGTTGATGTATATTCTTAAAGTATTGTTTACTAATAACTGGACAGCTGCCATATGTAAATGGATAACTTTTAAACTTTGTTCTAATTATAGCCTCTTCCTGGACATGTTTTGACAACAGGATTTGAATCCACATTTTAGCCCCAATATAATCACAAGCAACCACCAGGCCCAAACGACTATAATAGATTTACATGTCCTACTGGCATCAAGACTTGAACATGTTCTAAATCATTATGTCACCACATACATAGGGCATTCACCTCCAACATTCAAATACTTGTTTCCTTTTTCCTCCTGCGTTCTTCTCCAACTTATTCCAAAATTTCAATGAATTTCACTGCATTTCCATTTTCCCACATCCCCTCAAATTTCATGAATGAAAAAACATCATATAAACATTTCAGCCCAAAAATCGAGTCACCATTGACCATCCCCAATATAGAGCATCTTAGAGGTTCATGAAATAACAAGAACACATAATCAGTATCAGATCATATCTGCTGACCTCAACTTTCGAGTAAAAACCCAGAAAATTAATAGTGCAAAGTACGAAATTATCATAATACAGGGGTAAAAACATAAATAGATCAAATTTAATGCCTGGTTTAAAGAAAACTGAGAGCCCAAAATCCGTAGCCTTCAATGGCGAATCCTCATCAGAACTCAAGAACAAGAAATTTTCTGGCTTCAAATCCCTGTGCATAACACCCATGGAATGACAATTATGCACCACAGTCACAATCTGCCGACACAGATTGGCGGCTGCACTCTCCGAATAATGTCCCTTAGTAATAATCCGATCAAAAAGCTCACCCCCGGCACACAACTCCATTACTAAGTTCACCGAGTGGCGATCCTCGTACGCGCCTTTGAGTCCTACGATGTTCCGATGTCCGGTCAAGTGGTGCATGATCTGAACTTCCCGTCGGACGTTCTCGATGTCGTCTTTTTTGATGAGTTTACGATTGGCAATGGACTTGCACGCTAATTTTTGTCCAGTGGTCTTGTGGGTTACGAGGTAGGTAACGCCGAATTGGCCACGGCCGAGCTCACGGCCGAAAATGAAGGTGGAGTGGACGTCCTCCATTGGACGACCCAGGACTCGACCGTTGCCGGGGGGTGACTGAGAAACGGAGGTGGACGATGGTGGTTCATCGGAGGGGCGAATATTGAGGCCGTTGGTGGGGGCTGAGTCAGGGCGGAGCTGGGTTTGGGAGGTGTGTGACCCAGTACAGTTACCCATATTTGTGTCTGGGTGAGAAGTCTCATGTAGAGTTAAAAAAATATACTTGCCTTGTGTTTTGTCCGAAGACGATGTTGCGAATTGACGAAAAAACCTTGGAAGAAGTGGATTTACTGTGTGCTTTGAGTTGGTAAACGGGGGTCAACCGTGGAAGAGAATTCCAGTGACTTCATTGTTCCCTTTGGATTTTTGTCTTTTTGGGTGATACAAAACTTTTGAAATTCGTGCTACATTTTTTTTCCTACCAACGTTTGATGATGAAGATTTTTTTATTAAAATTTTCATCCCTCATGATGTTAAACAGTATTTGTTACTTAATCTACTCCTAAATATCTATGATTTAAGATTGGAGTAGTGCTATGTATCACAAATTTATAACTCAAATTTATATCTTAAATCAAGGAAGATCATTAGATCAATGGGTTCCATCAACTTTTTTAAATGAGACCTACTAATCCAATAGTTCTTCTTGATTTAGGATATAAATTTGAGTTATAAATTTGGGATACATATCATTACTCTTAAAGTTTTTGTACAGAAATTAAGAAAGTTATTAAATAGCTCTAATATGAGTAAAAAATAATTACGCAAAATTAAAATATCCTTATTCAATACGTATTGGTAAGAAAATTAATATGAAAAATACTAATCTACACTTAATCTATTAAGCACTTAAACAGAAATAAGGGTAAATTTTGAAGAAAAAATATTAATTATGCATTAATTTCATTAAACAAAAGATATTGTGGAGTAAAAAAATTGTTCAAAACGACATATATTTAAGAATGGATGGAATATTAAAAAAATAAATTTTATTAATATTCAATTATAGGAATTATATCACATCACTTATGCTTCATTTGGTATAATAAAAAAAATGAAATAATGAAAAATTAAAATGATAAAAAGTTGAAGAGATAGATAAAATATCATATTTGGTAAATAAAGAAAATAGGAAAGTTAGAAAAATAGATGAATTAATTTTCTTTCTAATTCATTAAAATTAATTTCTCTAAAATTAGAAGGAAAGTAGATGAAAAGGTAATTATATGTGATAAAATATATGTTATATTATATTTATATAAATATCATATTGATATATATATATATATATATATATATATATATATATATATATATATATATATTAATTATATATTATGTATTTATATTTTTTTCATCATTCTATTTTTTCATTAATACTAAACAGAAAAGAATTAATCATTTTTACTTTTCATCAATCCTACCAAACACAAAAGAATAAAAATATATTATTCTTACTTTCATTTCATAGAAAATAGAAAATGTATTATTTTTATTTTTCATCTCTCTTTCTTTCTATTATTCATACCAAACAAAACATTAAGATGAAAAACTTTATAAACATAAAATTACTATTTTTTTTCTTTGGTCAGTAATGTTTATTAAGAGGAACGAGATTTAAACTCACGGTATTAAAAATTGAACGATAATTAGTATTACATTAATTATTTCTGTTGATGTAGAAAATTGACCAACTGGACAACAATTGAGATGACCCAAGAAAAAATATTTATTGCAACAGTGATATTACGTTAGTATTGTGATATAGACGTAATATAACTAACCAATAATATATAAACAAATAAAAAATAGACTTCACACAAACTAATAATTATATATCCATATAAGTCAATAACTATCCACTATTTTTTCATGTAAAGTCGATAACTACTAAAATGATATTCACTTTGTTCATTTAAAATTTTATTATTGATTAGTTATATCATATTTGTAATCCGTTGCATTGAATATTTTCTTACATAACAGATAAAAAAGGTGATATTGTAATATCAAAGAGTTATTGTAAAAAAAAATATTAAGTTGAAAACATCTTAAATAAAATTGTATATTTATAAAAAAAGTCCGCTTGTCTGCAAGGCCCGCCCAATAGATCCGTCCAGTGAGTGGCGGGTTGGGTTGCAAGTAGCTTATCCTTACTTGAAGCCCGGCCCTCCTGATAACTCGTTCGGATAAAGGCTTGGGTCTACATTATCCAAGCCTAGTTCAAAAAAAAATTCGCGAGCTTAACCCGTGGACAACCTTATCGATGTGAACGACCTGCTTTTCATCGAATAAGAGAAAGAATTAGTTGAAATACACTTAAATTGGTATAGACACCCTTAACTATTGAACCAAAAAAAAAAAAAACATCCTCGAATATGGTTACATTACATAAAGGACACATGAATACATGATTATTTTTTATTAGAGCAAAGTTACTTTCTATATGACCACTTTTGGGAATTTTTCTCTAATATTATTATCGGGATGCTCTTTTTTGTCCCAAAAGCAACAGCCGCGGCAAACACACCCTAAATGTTTTAGCAAAACAAGTATGGAGAAGCCTGGTTTCATTATGGAATCAATCCCAGAAGGAAAAAATTGAGAAAAATGAGGATAATGCGTTTGCCGGGAGTCGAACCCGGGTCTATTGCTTGGAAGGCAATTATCCTAACCGATGGACTACAAGCGCAGGCGAGGTCTGGCTACCATGTTTTTTTATAATTCTATATGTATCGATATAAAACTTGATCACTGTTGCGACATTGTTGCATATTTTGGTCGTATCATACAACCTATCAGCAGCTATCCACACAAAGCATATGATTTTTAAAATAAAGACCAATAGTTCAAAAATTGAGGGGGTAAACGTCACAACCGAGACTTTAATTATACAAACTATATGGTAAGCAAGCTAATAGCGAGTGGATTTTACCCCTCTTTTTTTTTCTATAGACCGACAGTAAAATTGAACAAATTTACTCAGCTTACATTTGAGCTTGAAGCCTTAGCAACTTGCATTTTGCTACCAAGGTTCAAAAATCTATAAATAGATAAAATCTGGATGAAGGGAATGGGTTAAATGACAAAGATTATGTTGAGCTTGGGTTTGAGGTTGTATAACTTAGATTAAGTCTGAATTAATCTCTCAACCCATTTGACCACCAGAAAAAAAGAAAAAAAAAAAAAGAGCATCGAGGCATGTAGTCCTAGAAGTGAAGAAATGTAGAATGTGGTATAATAACATCAGAAAAAACAAATTTAAAAAATTGTCACAACATACCTTTATAAATTGTGGTGGGAGGAACCATTGAGTGGTCCATTTGTATCTGCATAAGTCCCTTCAGTTCTAATGGTGTGGTGCCATTGGGATACAGCACATTTTTATCATCTCAACGACTTGATACTTCAAGCATCTAATTCTATAAGATGGTGGGCACAGGACATGTATGACTGTAAAGTGAATTTGTCCAATGCATTCAAAATTTAGGAACTTATTAGACCTGTTGATTGAACTGCTGTGAAATCAAGAGAAAATAGTTTGCTGTTTTTTGGAGAATTTTCCAGTTACAGAAAGGGTTATCTCTCTCTTTTCATTCAATCAACCAGACAAATTCCTAGAGAATCAAGTCCATTTTCTAAAGTAATCTATATCAACATCTATTGGAAAGTTTCCTATTACAGAATGCGATTTTCTTGTCGGATTCCAATCTTTTTTCCCCTTCCATTTTCATTAAAATTGGTGTTCGGGTACATGGCATTACTGTTTGGTCATTTCTCAGAATATAAACTGTTTAAAATCAGAAAAGTTTCTGGTAGATAAACACAATAGCCTTACTACAGGGACCTCAGGTCCAAGCTCAACGGGACAAAATGTAAACCCCTACATGTTTATATTAATATAATGATATTATTTTTTAGTAATTCTAATATATGTAATAACGTAAGAATGAACCACATAGATTATAACAATAGAAATAAATATTTGGGAGACAAATTGATTGTGAAGTTTAAGTTGCAAAGGTATTTAAGCTTGAAAGAGGTTGTTAGGTAAGTTCAAAACATTTTTAGGTCAAAATAAGATTTTCATTGAATCCGGAAGGTCAAGAAACCTTGGAAGAAGTAATATGAGGTGCATTAGAAGTTAGAAAGTGTTCTGGAGTTAAATCACACTTTAGAGAGAATTTGGATAAAAAAGATATTGGACACTGCCTAGTATTTTAATCATAACTTTTTATTTTTAAGTCTATTTGATCTGAAATTTTGACAGTAGATAGTAGACTTCTAAGACTACAAAAGTGTATTTTATGAAAATTTTCTAAATCGACCTCTAAATAAGCCAAAACTGCGTTGAAAGTTTCAACAGACAAAGTGTACTGGTACAACATACTAGTACGACATATCAATACTGTGTACCGGTACTTCGAACTCCAGAAGCTAAATAGTATCGGTACGCACTGTAAAATCCAGTTCGACTCGATTTCGAGTTTTGTCTCCGTTTCTCACCCTATAAATACATTAGGGCGCCTTCTTTAATCCCATTTCACCACTTCCAATCCTAGGAAGTTTTAGAGAGAAAGAGAAAAACGCAAGATCAAAAGGGAAAAACGAGGGATTTAAGGGTTGATTCAAGATCAAAACCCTAGTTCTTCAAGAACACTAAGGTAGGAATTTTCTTCTATTCTTGTTCATTAATACTAGGGTTAATATATATGTATGTTTTGACTCCTAATCTTATGTATTTGCTGTGAGTTCTTTGTTTCTTGGTCTTCTTGCAATTATTATCATATTTTAAACAAAATTAGGGTTGAATACCCATGAAATCTTTTTTTCTTGATTTAAAACCCTAGTTTTCAAGAGTGATGAATTTTCCTTTTGATTCTTCCTTGGTTCTTGATTTCAAAATCTTAGTGTTTTGTGTTGAGTAATAAAATGATATTGATGATGATTTCTTACATTTTCTTCAATGTTTTATTGAAATGATACATGTGAAAATTTGGGGATTGTTGAAATTACTTGTGCTCTTGGAAATACCCATGAAATTGGGGATTTTGAAAATTGTTTGTTATCGATGGAATTGTTGGTATTGTATCTCTTGTGCGGTTGTTTGGATAAACATGGGCTATGATTGATCGGGTATCATGAAGTGGGTAGACGTCTTCTTACTCCGTGTGGGTTTGAACAAATCCTATCACTCATACTGGGGTTGATACCTTGCAAGGATCAAACCACTATTAGCTCACGGGTGCCGTGTCAAAGATTAATATACTAATGCCTGAGTTGGATTCATCAATGTCATTGTGTTGGCATACGCCCTTCTTAAAGGTTGGATATTCTTACGAGAATTTGTGTGGATTGTACGTGGGCCATGATATTTTCGATGGTGACCATGTTAGATCTTCTTACCTGAGATACGAATACAGTGATGAGTTATTGTTCATTGTACCAGAAATAGTTTCTACAAGAATATTGAGAAGTATGAGATTCCGCAAGAATTTGGGAGAAATGATTTATAGTGGAATGAATTATTAGTTGTATATTGGTTTCACTTATGCATTAAATTACTGTTGTTGCTTAAACTTGAGATCTGTTTAATTGTCCCTGTTTTATTTCAAAATTCATATGTGCTATTTGTGAAAGTTGATCAACCGTTTTTATACGTTTTTCTAAACCTTGTTCGAGTATGGGAGAAATGTTGCTGCAGAGCTTAGTGCTCACCCTCTACAAATAATATTTTTCAGATTATGTCCTAGAGGAGGAGTTGGGAGTGGATGAACCAGCACACTGTGAAACTCCTATAGAAGGGAACGTGGATCCCGAGGTAGACGCTTAGAGCAACACTATCTTTATTCTAGACTAAGAAATTCAATTTTGAAACATTGTGAAGTCTAGTTTTCTTTTGTAATTCAGCTGCGTTATGATAGTTAAATTTTTGGGATGTAAATATTATGGTTCGGCATATCAATTTGGGTAATGTTATAAATATTTTATGGAAGATGAATGAAGTCTCATTTAGTTATAGATTATATTAGTACTTTCATGATATGAATGATTTTAAATTATAATACCGTCCAAGGTAATTTTTGGGACGTTACACAAAATCACCTAATCAGTTTGATATGTACCGTTACCGTCAATGGTCATAGCATATTTGCATTAATGGTTCTCTCTCATGCAGTGTATTATGCAAAGTGTGGTGGATTGTCAGTGACCTTGGCCAATATCAACCTATAGTCACCCATTTTCTTGTGCCAACAGAGAATATAACGTCAATTTATTGTTGAATATAGCATCAACTTTTCTGTCTCTTCCAAGCACAGAGAGAGAGAGAGAGAACATTGAAATTGAGGCAATCATATAAATCAGTGATCAGTCATTTTTGTCCAGTAGACAAAAGAAGATTGTGAGAAACATTTACTAAAATTCCTCAAAACACAAGAGAGAATATTGAAATTGTCAAAGAATTATTCAGAAAGAATAATAGCCTGCACTTCAAAACTGAGTGCAAGATATGCATGAAATAGTAGAAGCCTATATTACGAAATGAAGCTTACAGACACCATAGGAGTTTATAGTCTGAAGGAATCAGAATTTCAATATATGCTTAAGACACTGGGGCCAGGTTAGGGAAAAAAAGAATATGTTGAAGACGAAACATTTACTGAAATCTTTATAAACATGAAGTAACTTGAAAAAAGACTGAGAGCCTAACTTCGAATTTTAAAGACAGTGTTTTTAAGTTATACATAATGGAAAAAAGGATATATTACTAGCATGATGTTAATAGATACCTTAGGAGTTTGCACCGCAAAAGGAAGTAGAAGCATAATATGCTTAGACCATTGAGCAGATAACAGGAAAGCCATATTTGAAGATGAGGGAGTGAGACATATTCTTGAAGGGGATGAATTTAACAACTTGTGTGTCTATGACAGACTCAACAATTCATGCCTATCAGTCATACGTAAGGTAATATTCCCACATGAAGAAAGCGAAAGGCTTCTCTATATGAGGCCCCCAACTTCTTGTTCTCTAAATATTCTTCAATTTACGATCCACATTTTTTGTTTCTATTACCATCCAATTGAATTTGCAGATAAAACCGCCACCAGATGATGATGATCAATATTATTTGTGATAACTGAATGACCAAAGAAGTAAATCAGTATACATTCAGACATACACATGTGTATATGAGCAGACATATGGACATACGCATGCTTCATATAAAAATATATTACTACATGCGACACTAACACTCGTACAAGTAAGATATCTCCATTTTATTTTTTATTTTTAATTTTTTGCTAAGCACCTTGACAATTAATTTCAAAGTACACACACTTTACAGCTTTTGCCTGCTGATTAGCATCAACCTAAGAATCGATGCTAAAATTTTGGTTGTTTTCATCAACCATTGCTATCATCAAAGTTATTTTACTATAACTATCACCAACACATTATCACCCTAATTGACATGTGCAAGATATTTTGCAAGAGCAAAGGTGGCGAGTGAGGGCCGTGTGAACCTGCATTGTTAGATTCTAATTTTCCCTCCATGCAGCATTATTGAGGTTAGGCATCTTTTATCCAAGTTTATATCTCAATCTTTCCATCTATTATTGTGGCATTATTCTTTTTCTCAATTTATCATATCTTGACTTGACATGCTTTCTCCCCCTAGTTGCATCAACAACTGAACCACACCCTTTTCTTTAAATTTCTTTCTCCTACTCTTTGTCATTCCATCTCCCCACTCAGTTACCATCCAACCTTGAGCTCATCGCATCCCTGTGATCGAGAAGACCTTATTGAAATTTCTCTTCTTACCTTCAGTAGTTTCACTTGAGCTTAAAGAGCTATTCAGTTTACAATCAGTTTCTTTCACAAAATACTACAAAAGCTAAGGGAACAATAAGGGCCAAAGCAACACCACCGTACGAGGAGTTTATACTACTTCATTGGAGGATGAATGGAAAAAAGGGTAGCTTTGAGATCAATCTCTCTTCCATTACCAAAGCTACACTGCCGGAAACTATCAAGAAAGCCGAGAATGTTAGCTTCTCATGCAAAGGTTGGATTCAGAATGTCTGGGAATTCTGCAAAGAAGACACCAACAGAGTAATATTCTCACTAAAAGTGGGCCTTGCTGTTCTCCTTGTGTCTTTGCTCATACTACTCCAAGCACCTTATGAAGTATTTGGCACCAACATCATCTGGTCCATTCTCACGGTTGCCATCATGTTTGAATACACCGTTGGTATGTACATGAAAACCACTTTGATATATAAAGATCAATTTTTAAAAGAGACCTAACTAAATAAAATTATACATATTAATTTAGGATATATGTGAGAATCATTCTGGCCTATACAAAAACTAACTTGAATGACATTCCTTGCCATTTATGCGGTCATGTCTTCCCTCAGGCTCTACATTCAACCGAGGATTCAATCGAGCACTTGGGAGCTTGCTTGCAGGAATTTTGGCAATTATTGTTGCTCAGATAGCCTTAAGAACTGGTCGAGTTGTTGAACCAATTATAATTGGTATCAGCATCTTTTTTGTTGGTAAGTCAGCTATATTTGTAAATTTATTTATATTAAAGACAGAAAATTTAAGATATTGTTTAACATTCATGTTTAACATGTTACAGGTACGATCACATCATTCATGAAATTATGGCCATCTCTTGTGCCATATGAGTATGGTTTCCGGGTCATACTTTTCACCTACTGTTTGATCATCGTATCTGGTTATCGGGTGGGGAACCCTATTAGAACTGCCATGGATCGGCTGTACTCAATTGCTATTGGAGGGATTGTAGCAGTTTTAGTGAATGTGCTTGTTTGTCCTATTTGGGCTGGAGAGCAGTTACACAAGGAGCTTGTCAAGAGCTTTAATTCAGTGGCCGACTCACTTGAAGGTAACCTAATTTAAGAACTTCCAACATTAGACTAATACAAGAAAAGAATAAACAAACATAATATTAAAGATACATATAAAGAAGGGTAGAAGAAGTACGATGGCTGTACACAAGCATCTGAAATTATCAGTCACTGAAATTTTCTTGTTTTGAAACAATTGTTAAAATTATCAACTGGATAATTTCAGAATGTGTTAAGAAGTATTTAGAAGATGATGGATCAGATCATCCTGAGTTTTCCAAGACTGTCATGGATGAGTTTCCAGATGAGCCTGCATACAGGAAATGCAGATCCACGTTGAACTCCTCAGCGAAACTCGATTCCTTGGTACTAACTTTATTCATGTTGATGTTGAAGTGTTTGTTTGTCACATATCTTGGACTAAATTAAGAAATCAATCATTAGCAATGATATTCTTTGTTGCCTGTTTCACTTGTAAGGCTATTTCAGCTACATGGGAGCCACCCCATGGCAGATTCCAACACTTCTTCTATCCATGGGCTGAATATGTCAAAGTTGGTGCAGTTCTGCGCTATTGTGCGTATGAGGTTATGGCTCTACATGGTGTTCTTCACTCTGAAATTCAGGTCCCTGCTTCCTCTCTTGTTAGTGCAATGTTTTATCTGAGCAAAATCAATACCCTTCCCTGAGTCCCAACTATAAAGATGAAGCAATAATGCTGGCAACTGCTTAGGAATATACTGAGACTATTGTTAACACGTCTCAGATTCTCATGACAGTTGAGGAATAAAAATGCTGTGTGCTAGAAAAGGGTAATGGGAAGGAAAGGTTATGAATCAAATGATCAGGAATTATTCTGTACCAGATTTTTGTTCTTGATGCTGTGGCTTATTTTGGGACAAGGGCCACGCAAATGTTTCTCGTTGAGAGCCAAAGCCAAAGAAGGAATAAAACATTTTATTAAACGCACCACTTCCAAGCAAATAGCAAATGAATATTCCTATGACCTTGTATATATCAAATATACTCCAAACTGGAAAAAGAAAGGACTAAGGAGTTCGTGTAGGGCATTGAGCGCTGCATGGATTATGCATGCAAAGGCAAGTTAGGCATAAGTTGACCGTTTTTCTTTTCCAGCCATGACATGATACTATTTCGCGGTTTGTCATGCCCAACCCTGATTTCAGAGAGACGGGCCTGGCTGAAGAATTGCCAGTCCTACCATTGATGAATTTTTAATACTTGAAGTTTACCTTTTCACGTATATTTTCTTAGTGAAGAGATTTGCCACTATTGAATGGTTGGTTGCTCGCTTAATTAACAACCCCAACAAATTTCAGTATACTTTGATCACTACTTATTTCTTGTTTCAGGCAACCTGCCTTGACTACTTCAAACCCCTATTTTGAAGCCCATCTAGCTAAATATATAGGCCGGGTGATAGAGATCGAAAGGGAATCGGATGGGTTTAAATTAAAAAATTGAATTTTATTATTTATTTTAGTATTATTTTATTATTTAGAAAATATTTGTTTGGTTAGGAGTATTAATTAGACTTTAACTAGGAAAATATTATAGAATTTTAGTATGATAGTGATTTGAGAGTTTGATTATGAAACTCTTTAAGTATTTTAGTATGAAAGTAGTTTTTATTTTAGTAGGGAACTTGACCTATAAATAATGGTGTAATTCTAGCTATTTTTAATTAGAAAGAGTGATATAATAAAAAGTGGTTCTCCGTGAAAAATTTATATATTTTTTCACAGATTTCTTGCGAGGATGAAGTAAACCCCTTCCACCCTCTCTTCTTTCTTCCTCTCTTTCTATTCTGTGATTTTTAATCTTTCCCATTCTACATCAGTTTGGTATCAGAGCCCAACTTCAATCATTCTCGATTGTGATTGTATTAAAATCCGTCTCTCATCCTTAAGTTTTAGTCCATTTCCAAAAAATTTAGCAAAAAAAATAGCCACTACCCACTACACAAAACCCACAACACAAAAATTAGTTACTAAATTCACGAAATTATACAAACACCCCCAAGTCTTTTAAAATTATATATTTGACCCCTTAGAGTTTTTGAAATTATATTTTTGCCCCTAAATTTTTTTAAATTATATTTTGGCCCCAAATTTTTTGAAATTACATTTTGGACCCTAAATTTTTGAAATTATAGTTTAACCCCAAAAATTTTTTAAATTACAAATTGACCTCAAAATTTTCATAAAAAAAAAAGGTTCTTAAAATTTTCTACAAATCAATATGGTTTCCTATGTCAAATTAAATGCTAAAGTGAAAGCTTTATCTCAAGCACAAGTTGATTCACAAAGAACTATAAATGCTAGACTAGTTACAATTCAAGTATCTATTGATTTACTGAGAGAACTTGTACTCGCTACAGTTTGTGAAACCAAAACAAGTAAAGGTTTTAACTTTGTTTCTTCAACTATCAATCAAAAAATGGTTGAACACAGTCCTCTAGTTATACCACAAGTTCCTTCACCACTACAAGTTACAATCCGATTGAATGATGATAAACCATTGCTGGATAATTCAATGTTGATGATAAACCATTGCTGGATAATTCAATGTTGATAATTCAATACAAGTTACAATCTAGTTATTCAATGTTGATGAGTCCAAAAGTTCTACTTCTACTCATCATACAACAATTGCTTTTGAAAAGTCGATTGCAAAGGGTGTTCCTACAGATGAAAAATAAGTTTTAAGCATAATTTTTTTAGATAGGGTTGTTACTTTTTCATCAACATCCTCACCATCCTTTTATTTGGAACAAAGTGTGAAGGTTATAAAGATTCAAGATATAGATTCCTTACATTGTGATATCTAGGGCTGTTAATCGAACGAGCCCGAGTCGAGTTCGAGCCGAGCTTGAAAAACTTGTTTCTTAATCGAGCTTTAAAAATTATTTAAGTTTGACTCGTTTAGGAAACGGGCCGTACCCGACTATTTGCACATCAACAAGCCGAGTTTGTTCAAGTTCGAGCTTGTTTAGAAAACGAATCGAACTTAAATGAATCAAGCTCGAGTAGCTCAGTTTGATTAACAGGCCTAATAATATTCCTATATTATGCCATTGAAGGGAAATCTTACTTCTATGCGATCAAATTTAAAGATGTGTTTCATCGTCTGATGTCAATTCTTTTGGAGTATTCTTGCTATAATAACTCTTCAGAGAAAATTTTTTTTTTCGAGAAAAATTGATAGAGATCGAAAAGGAATTGGATGAGCTTAAATTGAAGAATTAAATTTCATTACTTGTTTTAGTATTATTTTATTAGTTAGGATATATTTATTTGACTAGAAGTATTAATTAAAGTTTAACTAGGAAAATATTATAGAATTTTAGTAGGATAGGGATTTGAGAGTTTGATTATGAAACTCTTTTAATATTTTAGTAGGAAAGTAGTTTTTATTTTAGTAAGGGACTTGGTCTATAAATAATGGTGTAATCCCAACTATTTTTAATTAGAAAGAGTAATATAATAAAAAGTAGTTCACCTTGGAGTATTTATGTATTTTTTCACCGATTCCTTATGAGGATAAGGTAAATCCCTTCCACTCCCTCTTCTTTCTATTTTGTGATTTCTAGTCCTTCCCATTCTACTTCACAGGGTCAAGAACCTTTGTAAATAATCCTTGAGAAGATAATGCAATTGTTGTTAGCGTGAATATTTGCATACTGTTAAAACTTCATACCATTTTGTGATTTATGGATTAGAGCAGGGTATAATATGGGAAATTTTCAAACTAACCTGACTCTGTGTGGTATTCAACCAACTCTGAAGCACTTTCCTTTGCTTCACCATTTTTGATTCATGCTGTATCTGTCACAGCATGCAAAGGTATTTGCAAATCTTTAGGAGGGGGATGGCGGTCGCTCCCTCCTCCCTGTTTGATCCATCAACTGCATACAAGTGCAATAACCTAATGAAAAATAGCTCAAAATCTTCTGCTATATATATATCAGAAAAAAGTACAATTATCTGAAATAAACTAGTACAAAAGAAGGTCTTGAAAAATAAGTGATTTCTAGAAAAGTTTTGGCACCATGTATTATTTGTTTAAGCATTTTACACATTTTAATGGACTCAATTAATTTCCTTATAGGCCCCCAACAATCTGAGATGCACATTTCAGACAGAGATCCAAGATGCATCAAGCCAGGCAGCAGAGCTAGTTCGATGTTTGGGCAGAGACATAAGCACCATGAAGCGAAGCCTCAAAACTTCTTTACTCAAAAGGGTTCATAGCTCAACAGACCGACTCCAGCGCGCTATAGACATGCATTCATACCTCCTCACATCGAATTACGACCCATCTGATAGCTCATCCAAGCCACTTAACAAGCTCTCCCATACTTTGTCATCCACCTTCAATGACTTCTCAAACCAGTTGGCTGGCCTTGACGACAAAACCTCAGAACAGAACTCCAACCCGATGATCCAAAATCCACCTTCTGGGACTCCCCCACCACCACTGGGGGAGTCTTACCATGAGACTATGAGGAAGCAATCTAGAAGGCTCCATTCTTGGCCGTCCCGAGAAGTGGATGCTTTCGAAGAAGATGGAGGCTTTAGTGCAGATTGTATTCCAAGGATACGGGCACTAGAGAGCACTGCAGCACTGTCACTTGCTACTTTCACTTCATTGCTTATAGAGTTCGTGGCTCGGCTTGATCACTTGGTTGAAGCAGTTGATGAGCTCTCTAAGATGGCCAAATTTAAGCAAGAGGGTCTATAGAAAGGTGGGGACTACACACAAGATTTGACATGATGATTTAAGTAAAAGAATTTTATGGAAAGGGCAAAAAAAGGAGGTGTGGTTCTGAAAAGTTGTGTCCTTAAACTCTCATTAAACAGAAATAAAGAAAACTTTTAAATTCCTGAAAAGAATGTTCTTTGCATAGCTGAGAATGTTATCAGCACAAGGTATCAGATGCTTCCATAGCAAATTGGGGAACCACTCAAAATGCTTTAACATTGTAGGTTTATAGATACCCTTTACTGTTCATGAAAAGTACTCGAATTCTTGGTATGATCCGGATCCTGCCGATTTGAAGATTCCACATTTTCCCCAATTTCAATCATCCACCATTCATGGTGGCTCTCACTTTAGCGATGGATGATTGAAATTGGGTCATCTTCAAATTGAGAGGAAAAATCCAGTATTTTGGTAGAAAACATCAGCTACTGCGAATTTCGATTTTCAGAACTGGACAGACTGTTAATGGGGGGATCCCAAAGGCCAAACGGTCAGGCAAGTAGTCCATGTCCATGTAAAACTGTGCTATTCGGAGGACACAAAAATCACACCTTGTATCGTGTCATGTCATGCATGTTTCAAAGTTGTGTTAAGAAATGTAGTATCAAATAGAACCTCTTAGCTCGTTTTGATTCTCTTCGGGTGTGTCAATCTTGTGGAGAACGAACTACAAAGCAATTCTACAAAAGCTTACAAACAAGCGTCCAAAGTCAAAAACCCTTATTATAATGAAAGTGCCTGATCGACTGGCACTGCCTTGACATAATCACAAGAACAAAACTCACAACATTGACAAATATTTACAGAGAACTACCAACGACCCACACTAGAAAGGCTAACTCTAATCCTACCCGATTTCGCATATTGATACATAAGGATGGTAAAAAGACAACATTTTCTAAGGTACCCACCATTTAAACATGCGACTCAGAACGGTTTCTGACGATCAACACAACTAACAAACTAAAAATGCAAACAAATAATGCAGAGTAACTCTGCAATACGAAAACCAATTTCGAAGGACTACATCCAGTTCTGAGACATCATATAAGATTTCCCAGGTTCAGATGGAAGACCACCTACACTTTTGCTGCTGCCTAAGCCAAGACACGAATTGCCTGCCAGCATCGTCAACATACTTCCCCCATGTACCCTTCCTTCTGTAACCATAACTGGAGAGCCGCCTCCAATTGGCAGACTAGCTAGCAGGAATCCAGAATTTTTCCAACGAGAACTAGCACAGCCAGCAGGAATGACAACACTGCTCCCCATCTTCATGCTGTCAACACTCGTGCCCTCAGCATTGACCACCTCTTTCATTTTCTCAGCTTTGCTAGGTTTTGGATCGTGGACCATAGCCCCCAGAGTACCACCCCCGTGAACCCGTTTGTCCTGCACTAGGGCACCATGGGACGTACACAGCCCGGTCTTCCCCCTAGAATATGATTTACAGGGATCATCGCCTTTGCCAAATTCTGAACCAGGCTGGCCCCAAGAGCATTTCTTCCCTCCCCCGTGGGCCTTACAGAAATCCGTACTTCCTTGTGCGCTTTTGCCGCAACCTTCAATTTTGCATCTCTTTCCCCCACCATGGCGAACACAAAAATCAGTCCGCCCCCTTGCACTCTTTGTGCACTCTAGCACAGCACACCTCTTACCACCGCCATGTGCTACACAAAAAAGGGTCCCTCCGTGCACACTCTTTGGGCAAACACCACCACCTTGGAATGAACACCTTTTACCTCCACCATGACACTTGCAGAAAGGTGTGCTCCCTTCAGCACCCTTGTTGCACCCTTCAAACGTGCACCTTTTACCACCTCCATGTCCCTTGCAAAATATTGTGGATCCTTGAGCCCCTTTTGTGCATGTTGGATGTTGACAACGGCGACCACCTCCATGTGAAATACAGAGACCTGAAAGGCCTTCTGCACTCTTTGTGCAGTTTTCTTTCTGACATCTCTTGCCACCCCCGTGCCGAATGCACAGTCCTGATTTCCCTCTAGCAGCACGAGTGCAACACTCATGACTGCATCTTCGGCCACCACCATGTGCAATGCAGTAATCTGTGCGTCCTTCTGCACTCTTGAAACATCCTAAAAATTCGCATCGCCGACCACCGCCGTGGGCCTTGCAATATGCAGTTCGGCCCTCAGCCCCTTTATGGCAGCCAGGTTTCTGACACCTCCGACCACCGCCATGGGCGATACAAAGTCCAGAAGCACCTCTTGCTCCCTTTACACATCCCTTGAACTGACATGTTTTTGTACTACTGTTGCGTTGTTGTTGCTGTTGTGTTATCCCGGAAGTACAAGTGACTGAGCTTTTTGGTGTTGTTATAATGCTCGATGAGAGGTCTGGAGATACCCGCATGGGCTTGATTTCTCTCGTAGCCTGGTTAAGGAAGTAATTAGGGTCCATGTCCAGTGAAGTTTGCAATGAGTACACCTGTCCGGTTTTCCAAGGTGCCAATGACGACCCTTCATCTACCTGAAAGACTCCATCAATGGCCAGCGACATCCTAATCACATCCTGAGGTGTAGTGGTGCACGGATGAACACTAGTGATATCAGATTCAGCAGGCCTGGTGGAGAGACTCAACTCCAGATCAACCTTGGACTGCACATCCAGTGCTTTCAGATTAGAGGTAGCAGATTTCTTTGGGCTGGATGTATTCTCATTGCTAAGATGGAGAGTGAAGTCAAATTCAAGTTCCATTGAGGACTCCCCATCAGTTCCTCTGGCCGAAGACATAGTGGGGCATGCACTTGCTGAACTCCCCTTACTGTCAGAGGAACTTGATGAATGGCCCAGTTGAAGACACAATGAAGACCCAATTTTCTGGTCCATACATCCATTGATTGAACTCCACTTCCGTTTTATGCCCTTGGTGGCAGACAAGAAAGGAATTGGAGCACCAGGGGAATCAAGTCGTAAGGTGGTGTCTGCACAATAATGAGCTCTGGTTCCAGCTCCACCGACTTGGATGGGATTGCCCAGATTCTTGACTGCATTCGAGGGACAGTTGGCAGAAAAACCCACATTCTGGAACCTGGCATCCATGAACCAAATAGCTAAAACGCAACACTCTTGTTTGAGCCAAATTTTAATTGCAAAAGCTCAGTCTGCCTGTCTTCCGGGTTGAAGAAATGAACAACAAAACTAGGGTTAGATGTCTCTAAAAGAGTACATCCCACCCCCACTCACAAATCCAGAAGTGTCACACCGATCCATTTGCTATAAAAGTTCGATCTAATCCAACTAATCAGCAGCGATAGAAACCGACTAAAAGTCTACAGAAACTTGAATCGGTCCACAGAACAAGAGGACAGCAACTCATCCTGTTTCACACAAAGTCAAATTGTTAAAAAAAATCTTCGGCACATGGAAACTAGATCTTTCCATGAGTTCCTTAAGTTTCCAAGGATAGTGGCAATTTGACACATGATGTCAATAAATAGATGTTAAAATAGACAATAGTGAACAAATTCGCATCCATATTTGCTCCTGTTGGTGCACAAAGACAACCCAAATTTGGTCCCCCAAAAAAATGAAGAAAAGGATAATAACTTCCGCTCTTTTGTTCCTAAGGCAACAAAAATTTTATTACAAAAATTGTGCAGAACCTGTTCTTTTCCCTGAATAATCAGCAACGAAATGAAGCAAAAGTGAAGAGCAGAACAAAAGTAAATAACTCAACCGAAGCATTAACAAACCAAAACATTGTACTGTATTCTAAAGACGCATAGATCCAAATCAAAGGAAGGAAAGAGTTATCACATAATTTATGGACTAAACCTAGTGGAACTTCTAAGAATCATCCACTCACAAATCTAAATCTGGTCAGATTTAGTCAAAAATTGAAAATCTGATTGAAATATCAACCGAACAGTAGAAATCACCAGCAAACAAAATGCTCAAAAAAGTCCCTTTATATGCATTTACAATCTGCTTAATACATTTAGAACGACTACTAATGAAAAAAACAATTAGACCGGGGAAAACTTTAGCCAAGAATCCATCTGAAAATTTCACTTTTGCTGGGTCATGACATAACAGAATTGTCCTTCTGCTTACAACCAAAAGATTTCATCCTTTTATGGCTCGATATAACCAACAAAAGACAATCAATTTAACATGTTTCCAGCTCTAACAAGTAGGAAAATGAAATAAGTCAAGAACAAATCAATTGTGTTACCTTAGCCTTTTCAGGTTACGAGGGCAACAAAGAGTGTTAGATTTCAGCTTTCTTTCTTCTTTTCCTTCGGTTTCTCAGCACTCATGCAATGAAAAACTTCAAAAGGAGGAAGGAAAAACACATTCAAAAACAGATTATTACAGAAAAACTAATCTAATAAATGAGAAATATGATAGCCAAAAATATAATAATTAAAAGCAAAAACTAAACAACAAACTCAACGACCATAGATTCAAGCGCAAATCCGGAGAAATTGAGGAGTCATGGCCAACTGAACATCGATTTAGTTGATAAATCCGAGGTTAAATCTGCAACCAGGTAAAAGGTATTACCTTTGAGATTTACTAGTTATCCAGAGAGAGTGAAAGAGGTCGAGGTAGGGCTTCAGGAACGCCGGCAACGAACAATACAGGACGGACAGAGAGAGAAAACGTGCATATATATGGAGAGAGAAGAGAGAGAGTTCTGAGTTTGCGGGAAACTGAAAAAAAAAAAAAAAAAAGGGGTAATGTGACACCAGCACATGTTAAAGTGATCGGTGTACGTTAATCCACGATTCCATTTGTTTTTTCTTTATTATTTTTTCCAGCCTTTTTAGGAAGGTTAAATAGGCAAAAAATTAAAAAAATAGGAGCTAATTTGCAAAAATATAATCTTTTATTGTATTTTAAATGAATCTCATTAAAAGCTGAAATTTATAATTAATTTAATGTGTTCAACGAATTATTTTTTAGAAAAATTACCTGATAAAAAATATAATATTATTTATTAACAATATTGACTTATTCATGTCATTTAATAATCATACTGGAAGTAAAATTTATTTGTTCACACGTTATTTTATTATTAGATAATTATACTATATAACCGTTATACTTGATATTTTTTCCAATGCAGAGGTGCGACATAGGAGCTTAGAAACGCCGCCACATGCGCACGGGTGGACACGTCATCGTGACGGGGATTTTTGGTTATTTTTCCTCTTTCGCATTTATTGTTCTAGTCGGCAGCGCCTCGTCACCGCTCCGTTGTTCGCGTATACGTGCCTCTCTTTCTCTCTCTGGGGCCCCACATTCCTCGATGCGAGAGATAGACAAAAATTATGGTGGGGCCCGATACGCGGCTGCGAAGGCGTAGATCTTTTTAGTGTCTCATCGAGTGCTTGGAAGTTGTTGGTTTTTATTACGATAAATAATATTTGTTAAAAAAATAATAAAAAATATGATACAAATATGTGATATCGTTCAATACAACATACATTTCTGGTATACTATATTTACATTTACGGAACAATGCTATGTCGACTACGTTATACCCAAATTTTGTATCATAAATCAATGTAGGTGATTGAATTAATGAGATTCACTAACTCTATCAAATATTCGATGCATAAAATTTTGACACATCACTTGAAATACAAGATTTGATAAACACATTTAGGCAGTACAATTTTATCCAAAATAAAGTAATACTACACAATCTAAATAAAATTTTAAAAGTTATAATTTAATTGCATATCATTCTTTGAATGAGCGGATCTTATCAATTTTTTTTTAGTGAAATTCACTCATCCAACACTCATTTAAATTATATTTTTTAATTTTTATTTTGTATTATTTTTTGAAAAAATATTGGGTGTCAACAGACCACGTCAATAATGTCACATAATGTATCTATAGGTAAATAAATTTGGAAGTGAGCTTTTAAAAATTTCATAACCACCCTGTCACGTAATTATTGATATGGTGTTACCATTCCACCAAATATTTACTCAATTGAAGTCAAATGCATCGTTCTCGTTCCATAATTTTTACTAAGAGTCAATAAATTGGCCATGAATTTAGTATCAAGATTAATAACTGCAAATTTAATATTTTAATTAGCATGACTCATAATTGAGTTAGCTCTCTCGTTTTATGACCCCAAAAAAAAAAAATCTCCGTCATATTATTTAAAAGAAGTGACTGATATAAATTTTACTAAACACGACTTACCTAAAAAATAAACTTAGTTAGTACATATGATAATAAATAGATCAAACAACACAATTCATTAATAATCTTCATTAAGTATTGACAAACTTAAATTTTGTGATTTTTTTATATAATTTTTGTAATAACTTTGGGTCAATAATAAAAGAGACATGAAATCGTACCTGTCTATATAAAGATCATTATAGAGATGCCATCAGAATATCTGAGCATCATCGTTTTTTCAAATCCTATTCCAAGAAAGAGAAGACCCCCCATTACTATTCTTTTTGCCCAAGCACTTATAAAGGTGAAAAAGCAATACCCCCGAGAAAGAAAAGAGTGGTGCTGAGAAGGTGTCAAAATGTACACGATATTTCTAACTTAAAGAAGGGTCAAAAGATCAATTAGTAAAGAATCGATTCCTCTGCACTTGTGCTCTGTCAACCATTCAATGTTGACCGTATGAATCTACACCATCTGATCTGATCTGATCTGATCATTATTGCACACTACACTTTTGTCACTATAAAAATTGAACGACAATATTACATAAATCATTTTTTTTTCTTTTAATCGTCGAAAGTATTTGAGTCAATTTACGTGCACTTTAGCTAATTTTTTCTCAAAAACTAACTTACTCATGAGGGATAAATCTCGAGTTGGTCCAAAAGAATTGTCAAGATTTAAATTCAGAACGTCTGAGTTTATAACTCGTTTTTGTTATCACTTAAACTATCACATTTCTACACCATTTTTGTACACCACCTCAATATAAACTATTAAATTAGTGGATCTCGTTGAATTCATTAAATACTTAGAAGTTGAGATCATTTTATATCAGGTAGCGTAGACAAAGTGGTGTACAAAGATAATACATGTATCATTATTGAAAATTGAATAGGATTAAATTGTAGAATTTTACATAGATTTTTTACAATTACAAAATTGAATAGGGTTAGTCGTACGATCTTACAGAGACTATTTCTGCAATTATGAGGAGGAGGAGGCATATGGACAATGTGGAATACAAAAAAGTATATATTCTGTCTTTCATGGTGGCCCACTGGTATTTATTTTTTATTTTTTCAAATTTATTACGGTTGTTGTGCGTTCTTGAATTTCCTATTCTATTCTAGGAATGATACTATAGTGGACATAGATTCGTGGGCTGTCCTCCGACTTTCAAGTTTCAATTAAAAGGATATGCGTTTTAGGATTCGGTTCTTATGATACACTTGCCATAACTCATGCACAACCCACATTTTGTATTTAATATATAGTTATTGAAATTATTTAATGAAAATATTTATATCTTGATGGCTTTTTGGTCGTATGAAACAAAAAAGAGCATTATCTTAGACAAATGGCCGATGACATGATACAGGGCGGCTTAACGATATATCATATGAGACTTAAAGCGGTAATATTAAATAATATTTTTTTATTAATATTTTTTTATATGTTTTAGCTTGCTAGTGTTATTAAAAAGGAAATGTGTTTCAACTTTTTCTTTTATTTTTACCGGGGGAGAGAAAGAGAGAAGAGATGTTATAAATATGAGTTTACTTCTAATTATTATTTTTTTTTTAACTTTTGATTATTGGGTTTTTAATATTATGAGTTAAATAATGGACTTAAATTTTGTGGAGCCTTTTTTGTAAGGCTTAAAATTGTCATGGATTTAATTTTTTATGTGGGCTAACTATTTACTTAAAATTAGTGAAAATAGAGGTTGAGACTCTCTTGAGAGACATATAATAAGTTTAATCTATCAAGAAAACTTATTTGAGAATAAGTCCATTTTTAATCTTATTAATTAGTAGTTAAATCCACAATTTTTTTAAAACTCTAAAATGCCTTTCTAATCATTTAAAAAACAATCTTCAACATTAAATTAGTTTCCTAAAAAGTTAATCATTGATTCACACTTAATGAGATATTTTTTCTATAAAATTTAAAATTTAGATTTAAATTTGACATCATTACCCCCCATATGAGAAAAGAATAAATAAGTAATAATCTATATATGGACATAGATAGATATGAGAGAAAGATAATTTTAATGTTAGTTAATCTACTAAAATTTAAGAGTAGTTAGTTTACAAATTTGTTTTAATTAAATATAACTACTAAGAGTATTTTGGATAATAGAAATAAAAATAGATTTAATGGTACACAAGTTTTCTTGATAAACTTATCACCAAATAAATTTACAAATGACAACCGACTTTCAAATTTTCCTTAAAATTATTAGACTTTCTAAAAATATGAGACCTAAATCCCAAATTTTATCGGCCTTGAGATTGGGATTGGCGATGATATAATATTAGAGCATATTTAACAACAAAATGTATTTTACCTACTCAAAAAAAAATATTTTCTATTTTACCTACTCATTTTGTCAATACACACTCCAATAAATTTTCTATATTTTTATCTACTCTTTTTAAATATTATTTCTCATTACTTTTATATTATTTTTTTTTAGAATAGTGAAAGGGAGAAAGGGAGAGAAAATAATATAAATTATATTTACAAGTTGCTACTGTGTGTAAATATAATCTGTTGGAGCATAATTTTTAACTTTGATTAGTTAAATTTTAGTTATTTTACTCATTTGAAATACCGGTTGGAGATGCTCTTACCATTGGAATGAATATTTTTGAGAGAGGGAGAGAGAGATTCGTCTTCCTCAGCAATCATCTTTGGCATCCACCCTTTTGATTTTGTGAAAAGGTAGTGCATGGATGGGCTACGTCTTTTTGGACACCATGACATTTTGCCCCGACCCAGTTGGCATGGGATCGACCCAGTTGGCATGACATTTAAGAAAGTAATTTTGATATTTTTTGAGATAAGAATCTTATTTGGTTAAATAATTTCAAAAACAATTGTACAATACAGAAAATAGTAAAACCTGTTTTGATAGCCTAAATATATATTTGAATAGTAATTCAAACATTAATAAAAAAATATAAAAAAGTTATTTTTTGATTGACACAAAATATATATATATATATATATATATATATATATGTCTGAAGATCCAAAATTGTTCAATTTATTTTCAAAATTTTCAAAGAAAACTCTAAAAACAAGTTATACTTGTTTTCTGTTTCTTTGACTCAGATCTCATTTTTTTCCCCAAATTTTAGAGGACAAAAATGTTAAACAAACAGGTTTTAAGTGTTTTTGAAATTTTGAAAACAAAAAACTGTTTCCGAGATGATAACCAAACACTGCCTTTATACCTTATGAATCTCTTATGCTCCGTTTGATAGGAAAAATGGAAAGTAAAAAAGATGAAAAATAAGAGAGATACACTTTCTTTCTTTTGTATTTAGTTGGAGAGATAAAAAATAAAAATAACTAATTTTTTTTTATGTTGGCTAAGATTAGGATTGACAATCGAGTCGTATCGTGTCAGATTCGTGTTGAGTCAGAAAATTATGAGTTTTTTGTATTTATTGTTTGCGTCGTCAGGTCATTTTCAAATTCGTGTCGAGTTATAATCAAGTTCGTGTCATAAAATTTGTATTGAGTTCGAATTGTGTCATCGTATTAAGTCGAAAATTTTCACTCCTAGTTAAAATGAAAAAAAAAATTTAATTTTTTTTATTTTTTTAAATATATATATACATATTTTATCATTATATTTTTATATGAAATTAATATATATATATATAATATATAGATAAATAAGATGCATCTCAACATAAATAATTAATTTTTCATCAACTTTTCTTCTGATTTTGGAGGAATTGATTTTGATAAGTTAGAAGAAAAATTAATTCATCCAAATTTTCATCCTTTCTATTTTCCTTCTTTACCAATGTTTTATCTATTATTATAACTTTCCGTCCTTCTATTTTTTAATTGAACCAAATGGAGCATTAGTGTCGATATAGATAGTTTATCTTTGACCGGACTGAAGAGAAAATTAGTCAAATGATGCATAAACTGACAAAGACACTCTTGACTGTCATATTAAAAAAAATGAAAATGGGAGATGAGTCCCCCTAGATGTACTTGTTTGGAGATAAGTCCGACAAAAAAATTTATAAGGGGATAAATCCATATTTAAAATTATGTGTAATGACTTAAGTTCACTTTTTTTTTATCTCAAAAATACTCCTAACAACGTTCAATTTGGTCAATTATAGAAAGTCATATGTTAGATGTTTGAGATATATATGATAACAAATTATTCAATTTTTTATGAAAACTGATTATATCATAATCTGATGCTTGAATTACAACAAAATTATTGGTCTATTAATTCAATTTCAGATCAAAAGATTCCATTAATAATTCAAATTCAAAATTGTAGAATATAGTTGGACTATCCTCCCTCTTTCCTCTGTCTCCCTTCACAGACGGTTAAATGGATTTCTCTGCTTCGCTCACTCCCATGGTGGTGCAGTCGTCCAAATGTTGTCCAGTAAATTAGTTGTCTCAACTTATTTTTACTCTCATGCTTTTCCGATCTTGCCTGATGATGGAAAAACCTCAACACATTGAATGGTCTGGTGGTTTTACGTCATCATTTGCATTTGGGGCACCACCACGTGAAATTATCGTTCGTGCTTTGGAATTGTCATTTGCATTCGGTCTGTTCGTGCTTTGGAATTAGAATTATTTTTATTTTTTTGGTTTTTTTTTTCTTTATTTTTACTGAAATTCAATGTTACTTGCCGGTATTCGTATCGTGACGTTCTTTTACCAGAGTTTTTTTTTTATTTTTGTTTTTGAAATTATGTTCTAAGTGTATTTTTCATGCTACTGTTCGTGTTTTATTGAAATTAGTATTGATTTGTTAAATTGAATGTTTCATGTTACTATTTTTTTTATTTTGTTACTGTTCATGTTACTATAATTTTGAGTATGTTATTGTTTTTGTTGAGCATGTTACTATTATTATTTTTCTAAATATTAATATTCAATATTACTATTTTTATTTTTATTTTTGAATGTTACTACTTTTTGTGTTTGAATTTGAGAGAGATAATTATTGTTAAGCATATTATTATTTTTGTTGAACATGTTATTATATATATATTTTTAATTTATCTATGGATATAGATAAATATGAGAGAGAAGATTTTTTAATATTAGTCAAACTCCTAAGATGTAGGAGTTTTTAATTTTTAGTTTTACTTTACTTTTAAAGGAAAGTAAAGTAAAACTAAAAATTATTATTTTTCTAAATATTAATATTCAATATTATTATTTTTATTTTTGTTTTTGAATATTACTATTTTTGTGTTTGAATTTAAGAGAGATAATTATTGTTAAGCATGTTACTATTTTTGTTGAACATGTTACTATATATATATATATATATATATATATATTCATAATTTATATATTAATATAGATAGATATGAGAGAAAAAATTTTTTAATGTTAGTCAAACTTTTAAAATTTAGGATTTTTTTATTTTTAGTTTTATTTTATTTTTTTAAAAAAATAATAGTCTGGTAAAATTGATAAAAAATGGACTTCATAACAAATAAGTTTCATTGGCGGACTTAAGTCCAAACAAGTCTATATAAGAGGACCGGCCTCCAAATTTTTCAAAAAAAAAAAAAACAAAACAAAATCAAAACCTAAAAATAGAAAAAATGGTGTCAAGTCAAAAGGAATAATCATGAAAATTATAGAAACAGGAAAAATTCCTCACGACACTACTAGTCTCCTCCTCTCATGATGCCTTCTCTCTCTCTCTCTCTCTCTCTCGCGCGCGCGCGCGCACACACACGTACCAAAAAGAGATTTGTTTGAGTCTGTCGGAGTCATTCGAAGATATGCTGATAAGTATCTAACTATAGGGCAGGCCCAGGCTCAGGGTTGGATTGGGCCGCTCAGTCAGTTCTATTGAGCCAGGTGGCCCAACACCATTGTTGTATCTCTATGGTCTATGGATGTGATACTTCATACTATGATATGCTTCTCACCAATGTTAAATTACTCAGTGTGTGTTTGTTGAATATCTGCTTATATATTGCGTATTTCGCTTGAATTCGATACTACATGATCTTCTATCGAAGACAATTGTACTAAAAAAAGAGCAATGTTATTAAAACTTAATTCCGATTATTCGAACTTGAAGTTTTCTACTGGCAAACAAATTATTGACCACTCCAGTAAAAGACCTGGCCAAAATTCCACCAACAAAAATAAAATTTGGATGTGATGATTTTCAATCCAACAAGTCAGGTGGGTGGGGCCTTTTTAGCCTTTTTTTTTTTGGCCCGTGGGGGTGGGGGTGGGGGAGAGAATATTCAATACTACAGGAAACCAATAATAAAATTTTAAATGAGCAAAGTAAATTTCACTTGGGTGTTTATTGGTTTAATTTTTATTTTTTTTGGGTACATACCCAGCAATTATCTATTTACATGGACGGGTAGTGATTAGTTTGTGTGGAGTCCACTTTTTTATTTGTCAGCATATTATTGATTGATGATAGTACGTGATAATACTAATGTAATATCACCGTTGTAATGAATATTATTTCGGAGGTGGTGGGTGGATGGGTGGGTGGGGTGGGGGGCTTAGCCTTGTTGTTTCCTCTTTTATGAATAATTTCACTCAGCAAACTGATCATGAGTCAAGCACATTGAACTTGAGACAGTAAGCTAAGAGTGGAATAAAGTAAAATTAAACTGCCATATAGTTTTGACATGGTGACTACAATCATCAGTCTATTTAGAAGACGCTGAACACTTGAATCATGGCCTCTCAATTCCTCTCAAGGATAAAAACTCGAGTCAATTCAAACGAAATTCAACTCATTTTTAATTTTATTCAGAATCATCATATCAAATTTTTGCAACACTCAGAACAATTCACACTCAAACAATTCAAGCTAGATTCCCCAAATTCACTCCCTTCCCCATAATCCAAGACACAAAAGCTTGATTCTTCATGTTTACCAGCACTCATAGAAATTGATATCAACACGGAGCCTGAAGTACACTTCGCTTTCAAATGAATCTGTCATCAGGGTGGCGATACCCCGGTGCATGAAAAAGTCACCGGTGCCACCCACCACTGAAATCTCCCTCGTCTTATTCATCAATGGATCAGCTCCAATGAAGTTAATGGTGCCTTGGTGGTCTGTGGAATTAAAAGTAAACGAAAACCCAAGCCAGGCAGTGAATGTGTTTTTCGTGTCGTAAAAGTACATGCCCTGTGCTCTGCCAATAGGCTTTGAGTGAAAATTGTTGTCCAGAGTAATTGGATCGTCGAAGATCACCATGCTTCCGAAGTGGAACTGATTACCTAAGTTGGTTAGGTTAATGCCTTGGCGGGCGGCTACCATGGAGGAAGTGGCATTGGCAGCGTTGTTGCCATTGTAGACAACGTCATGGAAGTATAGGACTAGCTGCTTGCAGGGTTTGTGCTGCTTTTTCTTGGTTTGGTAGGAAGAAGATACGCAGAGGAACATGATGAAGAGAACAAGGGCAATGGAGCTTCTTGCTTTCACCATGGTTTATTTGTTTAAGTGATAGGAGTGACAAGAGGAGGAAAGGCTGTTCAACACAAATGGTTGAGTTAATTATGTGACTTTGCTCTATGCCTCATCTCCTTATATAGGGGTTTTTGTTGGATTCTAGGTGGATTTTGGTGATTAAAAAACAAAGGCCAGAGTTAAATGCACATGGCACCTTCATTGTGTGCGGCCAAAAGGATTCAATCATTTGTTTAATAGGCTTTCTTTTACGTATAACAAATTGTTATACACACTATACTTTACTAATTATTACGAGATCTTGATAGAATTATATGTCCATGGTTAAATTTCTGTATACTATCTATTCCGCCGCGACTCAAAAGTTTTATCACTCAAATCATAATACAACAAACTGATTAATCCACCAAGACCCCTCATAGGCCGTAAAAGTAAGTGTACCCGATTGAACATAAAAAGCTAACCTAATGGGCCTTATCTCCTGAAAATTCAATGAAATTTGGGGTCAAATCACCTCATAATTTCTCTCTTATTCTCTCTCTCTCTCTAAAAGAGGTTCTGGTACTGGCTTCATCATTGACAAAGGGTGGGCATTATCTGTGAAATATATTGGAAATTGACGGTGAGAACAGTAATCTTTATAGTTGGTTTATTTAATCTAATCTTTGATTCCACTTTGTAGGATCACATGCAGTAAGTGCCAAATGATCTCACCATCCACCGCCCCCTTTCCTGGCAGCAATGTTAGGCTGTTTTACAGTACTAACAATTATAAAATTTTAGCCTACCTAGAATCAAAATATTGGTAGTGTGTGTTTTTTTTTTGGGTGGGGGGTTCCTTTCCCTTCATAGCTTTTTGTCTCCACTTTTTTTTTTTTCTCTATATTCAACTCTGGCGGCAGATTGGTGGGGGGTTGGTGGCTTTGATTTTTGTGGGTGCCAGAAATGACAATCGTATGTCATTTCTGTCCTTTTATGGTAGGTCACCCTGCTCAAGTCTATTATAGAAGAAATTCTGCAATGTTTTTAACCCTAATGTAATGGTGTGATTGGCAGAATTGGTGAAAATTTGACCCAAAAAAAAGTGGGAGAAGGACACTTCCAATTCTCCTTTCCTCCTCTGTAGTAGGAGCCAGGAGGGATGCATTTTTATTTTTATTTTTTATGTTTGGTATGCATTGGAAAGTGGTCAATTTATATTTGTGTTTTTCTTTTGTGTATGTGTATTAAAGGGTATACAAATAAATAAATTACATTTTTTTTAAATATATGCTTGTTTTTTTTTCAATTTTTCTTTTCATTTTGGACGAATAATTACCGAAAGAAAGACTAATTTCTCCACTTTTTTCTCTCTATTTTTCTTTTCTAATTGAATTTAATTTTTATCCATCTCTTTCATTTTTCATCTCTCAATTTTTTTATCAGGTCAAACGAATCATAGATTTATCATTCTCCTTTTTTTTTTTTTAGGTCGAATGGTGAAGAGTGTCTTATCCTTGGATGACTTTTTCTATTTCAATGTTGGTTGAAAAGAACATAATGACCCAATAAGGCCATATGAGCTATGTCCATTTGTTTAAGTAGGGTATTGGTAGTTGGTGGGATAAAGTCAAGACTCAAGAGCTGTCATCTTGAGCATCCAAAAAGTAGATGCCTGCATCTGTGACCTTCGGTGCTCGGGCTTCTGTGGGCCTATGGTTAGTAAGAATTTCTCCTGGGTTCCTGTTATTCTCCGCGTAGATAACTTATTTTTGTTCGAATTGAATTGAGAATATGGTAGAAATTAGTTGAGATACGGGTAAATTAGTCTATATATTTCTAACTGTTGAACAAAAAAAAATTATTAGTTTCACTTAATTAAAAATCATTCATCTTGAATTCAAGTTGATCCTATTAAAGCTGGTAATTCTAGATACGACTCGTGAAATCGACACGAATTTAGCGGGTTTAGGTGTAATCTTAATGGGTTCGAGTGATTAATGGGTTAACTCGACAAACTCGTAAAATAAACAAATCGATTTTGTGTTTAACTTATAAACTCGTTTCAACCCGTTAAGAGTGGTACAATAAATTTTTCAAAAACAATTTATGTCTTCCAGCCTCTGTCTCATCTCACACCTCTCATTTCTCAGAATTATTCAAATTTAGTAGTCATTTAATATTTATTTTTTTGTTCAATTATGATTTATTGTTGTAGTACATAGGTTAAACATGTGTAATGTGTGACGGTTAATAATTTTTCAGGTAGGCTAGAAATTATCTAACCTATTTCTCTTATTTAGCGAGTAACACACGGGTAATATCGGGTAACCCGTCTAATAAACGATTCGTATATAGGTGTGATAGTTAGACTTGTTTATATAAACGAATAAGGTATGAATTGAGGGTTTTTTGATACAAACCCGTTCCACTCGACATAAAATCGTTTCACTCGACACGATTGCCAGGCCTAGATCCTATTATAATATTTCCTTGAAAGACTAATTACCCCCTGTTTAGTTTGATTTTTACCCTATAGAATTCATTCTCGTAAACATGTACAATATTTCCTAAATAACATGAAACATTATCGAAAAATCATGCGAATTGTACATGTAAATGGAGTATTATATAGACTTGGACACACCACTCTTTTTTTTTTTTTTTTATAACAATTGGTATACAAGTAATCCCATATTTCAATAGATTCAAACACGATGATTATTATTACGAGTTACATATCTAATGACTTGTAGAACTTTTTTGAGTCTTTCATTCAGGAAAACGTAATCACCTCTTGATGATTCTCAAGATTCCACGATTGTTAAGACTCACATGCACTAGTGAATAAAAAAACATTTCTAAATATATTCCAGAAGTTGTTGGTCGAAGGTCAACACATAGTGTTTTCTTGGACCTAAGTGTCCTACACTTCTACTAAATTGCTTGGATGGTTAAAAAATACAAACTAGAACAGACTGGCCATATGAGATGGTCAGTGCTTCGTTCGGGTGCATAATAGAGTGGGAAAGCTAGTGTTTTGGTGAAAATTTCATATCTCCACTATATTATTGCTAAATTCAGAGCATTGTTTGTTTTTTCTTTTATTTTTTTAATAGCCCAAAGTTGTATGTACTCTCTTTCAAATAACATGCATCGGAAAGGTTCAGACGTCACCTATCAGCTTAGTAGGTAAGCTACTTTAATCATTCTTGGACTTCAATTTGTTATGTTCAGAAACAAGTTAAATCTTTTAAACGTAAGAAAATACACCCCCCCCCCCCCCCCCCCCAATTTATTCCAATCCCCTGAGAACCAGAGCCACCAACAACTCCTCTTGAATTACATTCCATTACCCAATTAAGCAAAATGCAAAACCAATTCAGAATCCAACCAACATCCGTTTTAAGAATAAAAACTCAGAATAACATGAAATCAGATTTTCATAGGAATAAAAACCCAAATCAAAATGAAAAATCAAACTACATCACAAGTGAGAAAGGTTAAGGATCGCCATGTTTTAATATGTGAATTTTGAGATTTATTATTATTTTACCGATGGATTTTTGGTTTAATGATACTCTTTATTTTATAAAGACTTTGTTTTTTTAAAGTTAAAGGTTTAAGTTACCCTCTCCTTCCCTAACCCTCTCCCAAAAAAAAAAAATGCGAATTTTGCGGATTAAATAAAAAATTGATACTTTAAGACCCATAAGTGTTGTAAGTGATAAACTTTATGAGCGATTGGTGTAATTTTATTTTTTTTTGGTCAAATTGATCTATAAAATATTAAATACATGTTTAAATGGTTTTTACAAAAGCGGACGATTAAGTTTTTGAAAGAATAATCACGTGACCACTTCCGTAAAAAACTTAGACAAATTATTTGATTAAAGACTAAAGTAATACAAATTGAAACTTTAGGGATCAAATTGATAAAATTAGTACAATAAGGACAAAACTGGTTAAACAAACGTATTTTAATTTTAGGGATGAAAAGTATTATTAACTCTTATATCAAATACAAATAATTTAATTTCTATGACATAAAATTATTTCATTGTTATTGTCTCAAGAAAAAACATGCTTGGTTTTTTTAAAAAAATATTTTAATCTAATATTTTGAGAATTATTTTACATTTGAGTAATTTTTTGTTTAATTTTATAAAGACATGGTTCAATCCCTGATTCATGAAGGATCTATGTATAATATATTTGATTGATAAATATCATAGTTATCCACATTTTCTTTATTACGTGTTACGAATATGATACCATCCAAAATGATGTAATGGCATAAGATGACACATTACTACTGTCTGGGCAGTGGAAGGAGACTAAAGCCATAACCACTTTCATAAAACACATGGTCCAAAACTTAGAAAAAGTAGTGTAAAGATTACAGGTCCTTTTGGGTTTAAACACTTAAAATTACACGTCCTGAATAAAAATGAAAACCCGTTTTACAAATGTTTCCACCACCAGTATATCACAAGTCAATTGTAGATTTAGCCAGTAGTATAATCACATCTGATGATCAATTAACCAATGTGGCACCATAGAGAATTTGGAAACGCCTGGTTGCTCATTTATATAGATGTGCAACACTCTAGTTTTTTTATTTTTTTTTTCACCTCTTACTTCCCTTTTGGAGTTTGGTATAACATCTTATCCAAACTCCAGCAATGTAAAAGTCAATCAGTTAATCATCATCTACCTCAGTGGATTGCTCTTCCTCCTTCAGGGAAGCCAATGAATATAGAGATAACACCCTACGATATTGTTGCACCACCAAAACTGTTGCAGTTGTGGAGAAATCTGGGGATGTCAACAAGTTACCCACTGGCCCCAATTCTGGGCACTCAGTCTTCTTGTTCAAAGCTGCAACTAACTGACCCTCGGGCATTCGTCCAACCAGAAACAGATTGCATCGACTATGCTCTCGGGCCACTTCTGCTGTTTCTGCAGCATTACTCACCACTCTCTCTTCGTATTTGATCGAGTTGTCTGTTGGGATTTTCTGCTTGAACTCAGCAAGGATTGCTTCGTCCTCTGACTCTGTTGAAGCATTGGTGTTGTCATTGATATCAAGCTTGACACTTTCCCCTACAACCTTGGGATGGACTATAAAACGAACAACTACTAAGCTGACACCAGGGTGTTCAGCCATGCGTGCACCATAAGCAAGAGCTTCATGATCATCATGGCCCCCAAAGAAGAGGACTGTTATGACAGAGTCAACATTGCTTGCAGATATGTGAGTACTTCCACCAAGCCCACGGTCCACTAAGATACCAACTGAACATGGTGCATGCTCAAGAACCCTCCGGTTGACAAACCTTAGATCAGCTCGACTTGTCTCCAACTGCCCGTCAAGCCTCTGCTGCTTGTGGAATGGGAGAACTATCATAGCAGCTCTTTTCCTGTTGGCACTAGTGCAGATGTCCTCATGAATGCTAGACATTGGTGAAATTGCAGTCATTGGCCGAATAGACACTTTGCTTAGAGACCGGAAAGCCTCAAAAGCAACAACAATTTGGTTGGAGTCAGAATCCTGTCCCTTATTCCAAAATGGCAGCCCATTCCTCTTTGCCTTATGAACCATCAGTATTGCAGACGACCTTTCAGAGAGCTCCATGAGGTGCATTGCGTAGACACAAAGTCCTTCCTTCTTCCCAGTCCCACGTGAAGCCTCCACGAGATTAATCAATGAGGGAATGTTCCTCGTACTGTGGAAACAGGCCATGATTCGTAGTTGAGTGCTTGGATTTTTCCTCTGAATAGTTTTATGCTTGTATTCAGCCTTGCCCATCTCCTTAGCTGGCGTATATACCGCCATAACTAGAGGTGTGGTAATGAAGGTTGTGAATAGTGCCATCAGAACCATAATGGCAAATGTTTGATCATTCAATACCTGCAGAAAGCAAATTAAAATAATCAGAATCATGAATGAAGAAAATGCAAATACAAACTGAAAACTGAGCCTGATCTTACCCCTCTGTCTTTACCAATGTTGAGGACAATGAGCTCCACCAAGCCTTTTGTGTTCATCAGAAATCCTAGGGCTAAAGCCTCCCGAAAAGGCACTTTGCACAAACATGAGACTACAATAGTGCCAACCATCTTTCCAAAACAGGCCGTAAATATTACCAAAACAAGGAGTCCCCATGATTGAAGCCCATGAATGCTGGCCACATTGGTCTTCAATCCACTTGAGACAAAGTACAGTGGCAGGAAAAGACCAGATACAATATCCTCAACCTTTTCCACGAGAGCACCCGCAAATGGTCCTTCCTTTGGGACAAGAACTCCAAGCACAAAAGCCCCAAAGAGGGCATGTATCCCAATAGCATCAGTGACAAACCCCGCAGCCAGAACAGATGCTAAAGTTGCACAAACATACATCTCATTCACTGGTTCACCCTCAGGGCAACGACGAACCATCCAGTTGAATATAGGTGGCATAACAAATACACAACAAAGAACGAAACCACAACCACACAAGAAGACCCATAATGATATGAAGGGGGAATTTCCAGAGCCTGAGAGGGCAATGGCAAGAGCAAGCAGAATCCATGCAGCCACATCATTGACTGCAGCAGCGGACATGGCCATTTGGCCAACATCAGTCGTTAAAAGCTTGAGCTCAGCCAAGATACGAGCCAAGACAGGAAAAGCCGTGATAGAAAGTGCCACTCCCATGAAAACAAGGAATGGGGCTCCATTGACACCCGGGGAAACAGTTGCTCGGAGGGCAAATGATGTTCCAATTCCTAAAACGAAGGGAAGGGTAATTCCTGCAAGAGCAATGCTCAAAGCTTTCTTCCCTGTACGACCAAGGGATTTTGGGTCTAGCTCAAGGCCAACAAGAAATAGAAAGAATATCAAACCAAGATTGGCTAGAGTATCCAACACAGTAAGGCTTCGTGGTGGAAAAACTGCATGCAAATACTTATGGCTGCGACCCAGGGCCGATGGCCCAAGCAAAACTCCTCCCTGCCAAAACAGAAAAGTGAGTAAATTCTTAGAAAAATTCTTGCAAGTTACATTGCATGTACAAGATACATATGGCAGGTAATATACTACACACGCCTTTCTGAGGGCTGCAATATTCAGGTCTTCGTTTTTTATAATTGTTTTGCGAGTTACTTGAGCACCAATTCTTTCGATAGGAATCAAGATTCAAAAAGACACGAGACGTATGCATACTGTGGAATTACATGTTAATCACTACAAATGGAAGATCCCAAAAAAATTATGTTCCCTGTTCTGGAAAATTGTAGTAATTGATACTAAGAAATCAAAGAATTTGCTGATCTACAATGCAGGAATTTTCAACACCAGTCCTGGATCTGATTTCCCAATTGCTGATGGGGGACACCGCGAACAACTAGAGATCAAAAAGCAATAAAAAGATGAATGACTATAATATCTGGCCGCCCTGTAACGGAAAGCTACAATTGTCTTGAGCCCTTATAAGTTATAATAGATCCTGTTGATCACATGTAAGAGGGTTTACTTATCATCCTAACAATATTTTTTGATAAGTTGAACTCTCCCTACTGTCTCGATCTCATCTTACACAATTTTAATTCCACCAAATGGTATTCCAAATAGTTTTCTCAATTTTCTGCTCTTAAAGGTTCAATCCTCCCTCTCAAGGTCATAAAGCCTGAGATAACAAACATGTTATATAGTTTAAGCAATAAAATATCAAGAAATGAACTTCCATTTTTGTGCAAGAACAAGTTCTATCAATGGAATCATCTAAGGTGTAAACGAAACAACAATTCGCTGAACACTGAGAAAGCATGGAAACTTACAATAATCTCAGCGATCACTCGAGGTTGTCTTAATGGCCTAAGAAGATAAGCAAGCAGTCGTGTGAGAGCAATCACCAGACATATCTGTAAAATTGCCAGAGGAAGTGCATAATCAAGAGGATTATCTCCCTGGAAGACCCCATTGGATGTAGCCTTCATGGGCGGCAGGCATTGAACTGTTGCATTTGAGGCCATTTTGCCCCAAAAATACACAGAGCAAATTCTCACTTCAATACCTGCATAATGTGATCATATGTATCAATCTGATAATAGTCTGTAGACTAGAAAGAAATTCTGCTCACTGATTAATCTTTATAAATACATAATCACAGTCCTATTCTGAAGACTATAACCTGACAGAATAATTGCAATATTCTAATCACATCCAATACATAAATACTTGTAATTCTTACTCGTAATCTGATCAATAGTTATAAATAGTAAACAAGTTAGACTCTAATTCTGCTATGATTATCATAATCTGATCTTGATTCACTCACATTCATAGAATGAAAACATCATATTAGACTATTATTTTTCAAAGAAAATTACATAAATGTCAAATTAGAATAGTGGAGTTCTTTTTTTTTTTTTAAGCGCACCTTGACTAATCTTTCCCTCAAATCCTCCCCATCCGGTCAAAACAGATCATCATTGCCAAGATATAAACATCTGAATTACGGCTCATGGAATTGTCTCAAGACGGAAAATTCGCTAATGGGCTGATCCAGGGGTTGCCAACATATGAACGTCTGATTTACTCCACAAGAGGAGGTGGGGAAGCTACAGCCCCTGAGTTTTGAAATTTTTACTTTGACCCCTAATACTTTTGGTTATTTTTAATATATGATTAAAATTAACCTCCTTAATTATGAATATTTCCATTCGTTACTTCTCTCAAGTCTTAAACCCATGTTTTATTTTCTTCCCCTGAAGGGTGAAAAGTGAGCAGCGGTTTGGGTTAGCCGATCATCCCTTCTGTGAAATGATGGGACCCATGATTAAAATTTCTACATATTGCATGCTCAAGTACAATACAGAAGAGGAGATTGTCAACTTGTAAATATGTCATTTTTGGCATTCTTGTCTTTTCACATCGCCATTCAATTGAAAGCCTGCTGACTACGTTTCCGCAGAGTTCCACGAAATACACCCCAACCGAACCGAATGCAGAATTTGACAGTTGTTGGGTTTCACATTTCGAATGACAAGAATGCCCCTACACCCCGCATCAAATTTACCAATTCCACACCAACAAGGTTTCGTAATGACAACAACAATTACCAGAACCAAAAAAAAAGATTCATATGTAAAGGAGAGGAAAAGGAAAGAGAGAGAGAGAGTAAATACTTGAATCTCAGAAAGATTAAGAAAAGACGTTCTTTGGCTTCAGCTAATCACCTCAGCATTCTATGGAATCTTTGGATGCTGAAGAGAGGAGATACATAGGAAGAGAGACAGAGAAAGAGAGGCTGAGAGAGAGAGTTTGATGATGAGCAAACACGTTGAAAATTAGAACGGTTGTTGCATAGATATAGAAGGAGAAGACACCGCGAAGATACAAAATAGATCACGCGAGTCCCGTATTTCTAGAGCCAGCCCCTACACAACACTCCATTTATAGTGCAATTTCCCCCTTACTAGGATTCCTTGCCAGACTATACTTCTCTGGAGCCTATTAATTTTTTTTAATAAATTATCATTTCTTTTATTCAAATTTTTCCATCATAATTATAATTTTTTTTAAACTATGTTATATTTGTATAAAATCCTAGTTTAAACTTATGTTGTTCAGTGTGAAAGTAAATATGCTAAATACCCTTCACCTTTGAACTGGAAAAAAAAAAAATAGATACGTTTCTAATATTTTCTACATACAAAAGTATATTTTGTGAATAATAAGGTTTTATATTACAAAGGGTGAATTTAGACCATGTTTTCATGTAAATAATAATAATAATTCAGTAATAAAATGAAAATGATTCTTTATCCTACTTCTAATTAGGTGGAAGTAGTAGATATGGCCAATATCCATATGCAACTATAAAATCTTAGGTCAATAGAATTAGGATGTAATGAAAGTATCATATTTAGATAGGTCTATCATCAATCACACTTAAAATTATCTATCATCGATCACACTTAGGCTTATCTATCATCAATTACACTTAAGATTATCTATTATCGATCACACTTAGAATTATCTATCATCGATCACACTTGGACCTTTTTATCATCAACTAATTTCTTAGTCATATCTACTCGAATTCAAATTTGCATCTCAAATGAAAATGACTATTGGATAAGTGGATTTCATTAATTTTTTAAAATGAGACAAACTGATTCAACGGTCCTCTTTCATTTGAAATATAAATTTAAGTTGTAGATTTGAATTATACAACATTGTTTTTTAAAAAATACAATAGATAGAGATCAGAGACTTGAACTTTGCATCCGTGGACAAGGAAGGAAGACACCTATCATTAGGCCCTTTCTTCAAGCACGCAAATTAGCGCCACAAAATCCAAAGAGCATGACAATAAGTAAATTGAGAAACCCTCTTGGATAGTGCAGTGGAGATAGAGATAAGATATGTACTAAACATTTTGTATTCAAAATTTTGTAATTTTTTTTTTGGATACCATGTGGGATTTACCCCTTTGATCAGACCAGAAAAATGATTAATTAAAATGTGCGTAAAGTGACTCAAACACCCTTAACTATAATACTCAAGAAAAAAAAAAAAGTAAATTGGGATATTATAGTAATTACATAATAATATTGTTTAGTTTTTACTAAAATATGATACTATAACTTAGCAATTAAAGGGTTTGCAGTGGTATGAGCTCATTAAAGCTTTCTTCATTCAAGAAATCTGTAGTTCCAAAGGGTGTCAAGTTTTGAAGATGCCAAGGGGTCTCTTTAAGATGTCTCTTCAAGAAGCCCCTTAATTTTCTCCTAGGCTTTCTTGTCTTCTTTTCATTTATGTCTGACAATTAAATACATATACAACAATGCTATACACTTCACTTTTTTTACAATTAAATATATATAAATAGAATAATGTTATTTAAACTTAAAATTTTTATCTAATTTATTGACAAAATAATATAATTTCAGTAGAATCATTGGATCAACATCAAATTTTAATATTTGATAGACCTCACAATCAATTAAAAAATTATAATAAATTAAATTTCAATAAATTGGGCTATCAGCTTGTTTCAAACAACCCCCCCCGGGGCCCACAAAAACAACACACAAACTATCTCTATACATATAGAATATACCTGGTGTCAATGAGCTTCAAAACCTCAGTTCTAATGTTCTATATTTTTTTTCAATTTTTTTGTCCTTAAATATTACATTTCTTTAGATGGTTGGCCTCTTTATTGAGACTATTAATTGCATTAAATGAAAAAAAAATCAATTTTTTTATCATCTCTCTTCTCACCTTCTCTGTCATTATATATTTTATAACTTCTTACTTACCATGCAATCCCACTTTACTGGCAATAGCCAAAAAAAAAAAAAATTTCCCAGTTACTCATTACTGAGAATTCATATTTTTAATTTTTATTCTTTTTCCTTGGTTTCTAAAGGACAACCCTATTAATTTTTTTAACTTTACCCATCTAATTTTTTTTTTCAAAATGTTGACGGGTAATTGAAAACGATGCCTTTCTAATAATTTGTTTACACTTTTTGTATATTCGCATGGGTTTTTGCCAATATATATTTATACAATGAGGGAGTTAGGCATTTTACTATCCCTATATACATTCTTTTTTTGCAAGTTTTATCACAAGTTGAATTATTTAATTTTTTTGCAAGTTTGTGGATATATAATACTTAGACTCTTTAAGTTTAAAATATTATATTTAGATTAAAAATATTTCAATCAAATATAAAATATAAAATATTTTAAATTTTACAATCAAAATTTATGTTCTATTGTATCATTTATTGAAATAAAATTAAAAATAAAATTTTATTTTTATTTTTTCTTAAAAAAATCGTAATTTGTATACAATTATACTATCTATTAGAATAAAACTAAAAAATCAAACAATGGGTCTAAGTCATTCATAATATAATATGAATTTTATATCTAAAATTCATGTTCTATTATGTCATTTATTAAAATAAAATCAAAAATAAAAATTTATTTTTTTAAAAAAAACATAGTTAGTATATATTTATACTGTCTATTTAAAAAAACTAAAAAATTAAATAAGGAATCAAACTGTAATGGACATAATATCTTTTAGATTTAATTGCTGTAGTTTGGTATTTTAATTTGGTCGTTTAAACGACTAAATTAAATTCTAATAGACAATATAATTGTGTATTAATTACAATTTTTTTTAAAAAATTGAATTTTTATTTTTAATTTTATTTAAATAAATGATACAATAGAACATTAATTTTAGTTACAAAATTTAAAATATTTTATATTTGATTGCAATATTTTTTGTCTAAATATAATATTTTAAACTTAAGGATCTAAGAATTATATACCCACAAATTTTAGGGGAGTCTAAGTGTAATTTATTAACGAATATATTTACAACAAGAGTCTAAGTGTTAAACCTTAGAGGGTCTGTGTATAATATTTCAAATATCAAGGATCTGAGTTATTAAATGACAAATCTCAAGATCTGGGTGTAATTCTACCTATTTTTTAAGATCATGTATTTTGAAAATCTTTTATCAATTTTTATTTTAAAAAATAATTGATAAAAATTAATTTCAAATTATATAATTAAAAAAATTATTATTTAATATAATAAAATCAAATTTTCACAAGCTCAAATTTTATATTAGACTGTTTTCCAACTCAAGTTATTGCTAGCATTCGTACATAAGAAGTTCTTATCTTGGGATGGTTCCTGAATTTTGTAGTTGAGGGTTGACTTTGTTTTAGATTAAAGCACAAGTGAAAGATGGTGTCAGCGGACATGTTGCCTCATAGTCTTCAGCAGTATAAAGCTCTGCACTGTTCTCTTTCCACAGTTACATGTAAGTCACTTTCCCTGTTACTCTACAGAACCGTGCAAAACATTTTCATCTTATACACGTCTCCTCGTTCAATTTCTTCTTCGAAGTTATTGAATCCTTTTCACCGTTGGAGAATTCCCTCTATTATTCCACTCCATCCGAAAGAATAACTAGAGCCAATTTAGTCAATATAT